GCGGCCAAGGAGATCCTTCTAGATCTACCTCCTCTCCATATTTTTCTGGAGAGAGAGGCTAGATGGACTGCATACAGACTTGTGCACATTGCCAATTGCACAAATCAATTTAATGCAGAGTGTCACAGGCTGTTGGTTGACACTGGAAGTCACAGCATTCTACAAATGACCTCTGACTTCATGCCTCCAACTGTCAACTACGAACTGCCTTATAAAGTACTCTTCCCGAGTAGAGAGGACTGGATACTCTGGGAGAAGGAAATATTAAGAGCAGATAGTTGTTGGTTCACAGATGGGGAGATTAAAAGAATCCAACCTCATACACAAGTCAATAAAAATATTCTCGGGCAGTCAAGCAGCATTGGAAGCTCATGGCTCCTACCGAGCAACGTCTAAATTGATAGCAAATTACCAAAAACGACTCTCCTCGATAGGACGACTTAACAGGTTGTTTCTGGTCTGGATTCCTGGCCTGGAAGGCAATGAGGCTGCTGACTCCCTTGCAAAGGAGGGTGCTGCAAGCAGCTTCATCGGACCAGAACCTGTAATTGTCATCGCTTTAGGCTTTGCCAAACAAACATTGAACACCTGGATTGCAAGAAGATTCATAGACTTCTGGCAGAATCTTCCAGAATTGGCTCGCTCCAAGGCGTTTATTCACCATTTGAAGCTTGATACCAAACAGTTGTTGGACTACAGTAGGGATGAACTACGATGTCTAACAGGGCTTCTTACAGGCCACTGTCATTTGAATCATCATATGCAGAGACTTGGACTGTCGAAAGACAGTGTGAGTCGCCTCTGTTTGGAAAATGATGAAACAGCAGGGCACATACTTTGTGCCTGCCCCGCTGGGGACAGAATTAGGTTTTTAGAGTTCGGCAGAGCCGTACTCTTACCATCTGACCTAAAAGACCACTCACCATACAAACTAATCGGTTTCGTTAAGAAGCTGGGTTTATTTGGTCGAGTGTGACTAGATGTAAGCCACAATAAACCCTTGTGGGTTTCGGTGGAGAGTCGAATAGACCCACTTACTTTGGACCTAACCTAACCTAACTCTCGATAATACAGAGCCTGAAATCGATGCATTTATAATCCAATACCGGATATCCCTGTTTTGATCTTCAAAAGAACTCATTGATGGTTCTCAACCGAATTATGATGACTACTCAAAAAACTAATTACGAAAATAATAGAGGAACGGGAAATTGAATAAAAATAAAGATCTGTAGTTCGAAAAAGGTTGTTGAATGAAAGTCATATGCTTTTTCGATTTTTGAAAACATCAGAACTACCGCTGATTTTAGAATTTGTAAGAATTGTTATAAAAATGAATGTCTCGTCACGAAGAGCAGTTAAAAACAAAACTTCAGGGGCAATATCATTCTTCAGTTTTTTTCAAACAAAAACCATGTGAGCCGGTCTCAAATACAAATACCTCAAATACTAACTAGGTTAAACCATAGGTGTTACATCTACATTTCGATCAGGTACATCACTAACCTTTTTTCTATTTCCGTGGCAAGCCGATCCTTTAGTCGCATGTCGGTATCCTATCGAAAACCACCGTTTGAATTGACTTCTCATTTGACATCTATTAAAACAATTGAAAACGCGGTTCGAGAGCATGATTTAAATGATGCCGGCGATCGATTTCGTAACGCGGCGTTACAATCGCTGCCGGGTCTTATCTGCGGTTCTCGAGACCGAATTTTATGAGCCCGAAAATACACATGCGTCGATCAGCGTTGCCATAGCTCTCGCAAAACATCGTTCTCTACGTCTACGAGGTGGTCGGGGTGGACGAAAAGTCGATAACAGAAAATGTACTATAGTCTGATTCACAAGTTGAAATTCAGAATGACGTGTAGAAAAATATATTTAATGATTTTACAGCACATGAAAAATTACAATAAAATTGTTATTGCCAAAGTAAGATGAGAAAGATCATTTGATAATATCTCAAAAACTATCATCATCTACTTTCAATGAAAAGGATTTTGGAAGGAGATACAATTCACAATAATAAGTTCCCGAAACTCTACCCCCATTATTTTTAGCTTGAAAATACTTGCGATATAATTTTTTGATCGTCAGATGTCATCCTAACCGCATGTCACGGCTTGCTGTTTCTTGAAAAAGGCCTGAACTTACGAAAAGGTTAAATGATAAGTATTTTCATTTTTGCTTGGGTCTGCAATCCAAAGGATAGCTCTTTCCTGAATAGAATCTAGTGGAACCTCAGAGTTTGTTTGGCGTATACGAATTTAACAATATGCAATTATTTTGTGGGTACCAATACAAAAAAGGAAAAACTATCTAGTACTCAACATTGAAAAGTACATGAAAAACTTCAAGAGAATAGGCATACATAAGAAATTCACAAACCTAAAAACAAAAATATATCATTAACATCGATTTTATGACAGACTCGCTCAATTAATTTTAAGTTACATCCACTTAATAACCACAGTCCATATTTTTCAATTGGTAGGTACTCTCGATAATCCCCTTCACCAGGAGGAGAAAATTGGACTATCTAACGTCACTTTGGCGGGGTCATTCCATTTGGAACGGATGTGAAATATCTTAACATTGTCCTTGATAGAAAACTCACCTGGAACGCTCACTTGGAAANATATCTGTCAAAAATAAGCAAAACGTTAACTTTATCCTAGTTGCATAAAATTTGGCATATGAATATGAAATTGCCGTAGACACAACTTTTTCAAGTAACTTTTTGTTAAATTCGATCTAGAAATGCACTTTTTCAATTTTTTTCAAAAAAAAAAGTTGAATTTGACAAACACTGAACGCCAGTGGGTCGCAGTTGGCCGCATCATTTTAAGTTAAATTTAAAGCACAAACAAGTGCCGAAGTTAAACTTTATTGAAACTTTACATTGAACATCATATTATAGATCGTGCGTTTATTTCGTAGGCTTGATTTGGATCTTCTGTTTGATCAGAGGGAACAGACTTTTGGTCGTTCCCTGAATCATTGCCTTCACGCTATTAAAGTGCGGGGTCCAGGTGAGTCTACGGTCTAATAGATCTCCCTTTCAGAGACCCTCACTTTCATGGCCGGAGAAGATGTCGTTCTTCCCATGGTTATTGCCTGAGTTTTTCGTGGGTTCACTCGAATCTTATAATCGAGATACCATCGCTCGAGGTCGAGACGGAGTGAACCTTCTGAGATTCGCGAATCATAAACTCTATCTGCAATTGACTCAGTGTACCACTGCAACACCTGCAGACAAAGTCCGGAAAGAACTCCACAAACACATACTCCGGGGTGGGAGTCTGAATAATAAACATATTCCGGAGAGGTGCATAAGATATACTCAAGTTCAGGTGAAAACACTTTACCCTTGCCTCTCATGTGAGTCTAAGATTCTTTCTGCAAGGCATTAGTTGGGTTAGTTGTTATTTTTCCGTCGGGTATCTGCCACACTTACTTAAAAAATTGTAGGTTCACGTGAGAGGCAAGGGTAAGGTATTTTCATCTGAGCTTGAGTTCAGCTAAACTTGAGCATATCAGGCGAGTCCTGGTGCAAAACATTTTTGTGGAGCTTTTTTTTCTCTCTCGATTTATTTTCATTCTCGTGAGAAACAAATATGTTTGGTGAATTTTTGATGAACTCATATCATTTAAAAATAAACCAATTATTTGCCAGGGTTTAGTTTATTTTTATATTTGATGTGTACAGAATTTAGATAAGAAAGTATAAATTCTTCCACTTTAATATTGAAATCAATGAACCGTTAGAAAAATTATAATAATTTAGATCTGACAGGGAGTAGATGGATTCATATGATACATTAATTTTTTTATTGCTTTTGTAATGAATGATCAATCATAGAATCATCCACATTTCCACAAGTGGAGATTGGCGGGACCTCGCAAATGATATTTTGCATTATTTTGACCGCGGATATCTCGTTCGTAGGTTTTGAAATTGATCAATATTTCAACATATCGTGTGGGTAGTCAGAGATATATTTCAGGCTACGGCTTTGAAGCCATTTTCAAGAACTACAAAGTATGGCTGCATTGAGGTCTCAATCTGCTTACTTCCCGGGTACCGAGGACTTGAACTAGTCAGATTGAAGACCAGTGGCGAGTCTTAAGGAACAGGCAGATTTGAACCCGGCGTCAAGTCACAAAACACTAAAAGCGTGTCCTTATCTCATGTAGTGTGTTGATTGAGACCAGTCTAGCTATACTTTCTAGTTACTGAAAAGGGCGCCGAAGTCAAAACGTCGAATGACTAAAAAAAATTGACGAAATGGTGACAGGGGGGGGGCTGACTTGCAAAGCGAGGTGTGTAATGTTGTGAGGTGTTCGGCGTAACAGTAATAATCTCCATGAAGGAAACGCGTTGAAACTAAAACTTCTATCGTATATAAAGAAATTCTAAATAATAAAAAATTTACACAAAAATGAAAACTTGACAGTTTTGAAATGGAAGCATATAAAATTGCACATGATCAATTTTTCGAACATTGTAAACTCTGTATATACCAGTAATTCATTATTAGCCCTAGTATCTTATAGTGTGTAAGAGAATATGAGATACGATTATTATATCATGAGTTATGATTATATCATCTAATCATGAAATTTCAGAGAACCATGTTTGAAAGCTACTTTGAAGCGGATTTAGTTTTGGTATATAAAAGTTTTATTGATGACGACACTGCATTGGAAGTGTCCTTTCTAGGTTATATTAGTATGTACTTCTCCGAGCCATCTTGGAATTGTGATGGCTATTTGCCGTGTACCCATGTAAAGTAGAGAATCATTTGACAATCGACTGGAAGAATTCTCATGAAAAAAATGTGGGCGGTGGCGGATTCGAACCCTGGACTTTTCAGTTATAATCCAGGTGTACTAACAATGTTCTGTAATTCCCCGGTATAGGAAAAGGTTAACAGATTTTAACTCTCAACTGACTTTCTAATCACTTCCTGAATTATAAAACATCTTACCGTTTAAATTGTTCTAGAGTTAGTTTTTGGGTATCTACAGTATTTCCATCCGAACTTTTTGATATTTGTTTCAAGTTTTCCATCATATTCTGAAGTCTAGGGTCATTTTTTCTGAGACCCGTTGCTCGTACTGCCTGAAAAAATCAGAGTGATTAGTTTTCAATCAAAGTTGCAATACAAGTACTCACCGTCAGAAACTGTCCAATTGAAAGTAGCCCAGTTTCTTGATTTTTGAACATTTCAAATAATGCCACATCTGTTTGGACATCATTCCCACTGTAACATAATCATTCTGAAGAGAGGAATAAATAATGTATAGTCAACTTACTAATATAAGTAACTTGTGTCGTGTATGAAAGAATAATTTCTTCTGAAAAATAAAATGGTGGAATGAGTAGATTGCTCGGTAGAGTTTCGCAAAAGTAGTTACCTTTGACTAAATAAATTTGCATCTCCTTGCCAATGATTGCCCTGAAAAAAAGAATAAATATAAACACATATTCAATATTATTTTATTTATTGAAATAATGAACTTTTACTCCTTTGCAGTGTGAACCACACTAGATATAGGATGCGTGATACCATTCAGGAGACTAGCTTATCTCTAAGGGATATTCTTCCGATCAAACCCAAACACTACGACAAAAATCGGGCACCAAAACTGCAGGGTCAGCCAACTATCGTGTATTTTCACGTCACTGTACTGTCTTTGGATTCCATAAATGAAGAATCAATGGTAAGTACACCATGAAGGTTAAATTAATATACTCACTTACTGTTTCAGTATCAAAAGTAGAGAGGAATTCATTCATTTTGAAAATTCTTGATTTATTTTAATGTCTGAGTTTAAGTCATTATCAATTACCGACTTAAATTTTTAAAATCCTTCTTCGATAACACACTCGCACCATTTCTTAGAGCGTGCAATAGCTATATCTGAGCAACCGAATAAAATACAAGAAATCGCTGAAAACAACTTCCATAATAGGGAATGGCAATCAAAATGATGTGATGGCTAACTTGTTGGTTTTTTTTTCTGATCTATTCGGCCGTTACTTGATGAAGATTCATAGTAATTTCAAAAACTACACCTCACGATTTGAAAAAATATATAATCACAACATGTTTCGCTAGCACAGTAGCTTTTTCAAGTGTATGTGTACGCTTGAAAAAGCTACCATCCCCTGATATTGATGTTCTGATTTCAGCACTAAGTCCATATAATTTTCTTTCGAAATACAATACGAAATACAATACAATATATTTATTTATTAAAATCATCATTTTACAATAATATAGGATAGGAGTGATAGAACATGGAGTGTATACAAACAAAGTATTACAAAATACATACATAAGTTTAACACATGATACTGCTCGTATAGAAAAAAAAAGCAATAAAAAGTGTTATAGTCTATTTCAAAAGAGTGTAGAGTAATAAAATCTCATTAAGTATTCAAAAGCGCTACAGGGTGATCCGTCACTAAATTCTGTCACTTCCCTAGTCCGCATTGCAAAATTATGTCGTTTCATAAAGGTAGGTATCACCCTGTTTTAAGGGATTTGTCCATTGTTATCGACGGATAAATACTGAGCCAGAGGCGCGCTAGTGGGATAATTGCCAAAAGAATATGCATTCATAAAAATTATATTAAAGGAAATAAAAATTTAATACAGCAGAACAGTGTTATTAAAAAAATATAAAATGTAACAATAAAATATATACGAACCGAAATCGGGAAATACTCACAAACACACACGAACGAACTTTACGTATTGAAACACTTGTGGGGACTTTAAATCAATTTATTCACAAAAACGACAAGAACTTTACTGGATACGTTATTACAATTTGACACTTGAACAATACTAAAACTGTGAACTTCCCTTAACGTTTAACAACACTCTATTT